TGTATGAACATATGTCTTGCATGTGAGGTATTTCCATACTTGGTTGTTCATGCTTTTGTACTAAGTCATGTATTTTTGATTTTGGTATTATTGCATTATGTTGAAAGTAGCAAGGAATTGTGATAGTTATATTGATTAGTTGTTGTAAATTTTATTGTATAATTTGAGGACCTTGTGTAATCAACATAGATGTATGTATGAAAAGGAAATAGGCCTATTCTAGGTAATAATATGATTTTGATGATGGTAAATGGATGAAAATGGAATAATGTGATTGAAATGAATAGTAGCTTGTAATATAAGTAATTATGGATAATACCTTGGAGAATAAGTAATGATCATAATTGTGGTATATTATGGGTTGTAAGAGCACCAAAATTTGTTGAGCCTTTGTGTGCCATCCTATTGTCTATTAGGTACTTTTTTAAGAAGTAGGAGCACACTTGGATAAGTGGAATCATTTAATAAAACAAAAATGTCGTCAAAGTTTTTAAGAAATCGATAAGATGTTACCTAACTTTGGGAGACCATATCTCCTGATGGGACGTAAATTCGTTCCCATCTAAGCCCATTTTGATGGCAAAATACCACACGTTCCCTCATCTGATGAGCAACTACAGCATGAAAATAACTTGTTTTACACATTTGTGACAAAAACACAGTGGGGAAACGTATGGTAACGTATTCCTTTAATATATATTAAAAGGGGAACGGACTGAGACGCATTTAATGCACCTGCTCCACTCATTTAATGCCTCTGTACACTTTGCAGGTAACGTGGAGTTAAAGTCTTCTAAAAGCAGAGGCGGTGCATCAACTGAGCAGCTGGAAACGTGAAGAGCAGAGAATCAAGAGTTCTCATTGGCTGAAAAAGAAAGCAAGGCATGGGAGGGACTGCAAACAATGGCTAATCATCACCAAATCCTGTTCCATCCAGCAATCTGCGTAGTTTCCACACTCTACTGCCACCGTCCCATCCCCTCATTCAAGCAACTAGCTCCAAAGGATTTAAAAGATTGCCACTCCTCTTCCATCTATAAATACGACGACCCACACACAAAAACATCATCGAATCCTGGAGGGTTTGAAGTCCGAAAGGAAGAGATCACCTAGTAGTAGTAGTAGTAGTTAGTAGCTTAGTATTATTCTAAGTTGTAACTGTAGTTAAGTGACAACCCCTATTCTCTTCTCTGTATCAACCACTAAAACTCCTCACGAGCATCAACCCATCCTTCTCCATTTTCTGTTTCTTTTGTAAACTGTCTTTTAAATTAATATAACTGTTTTTCTCTTCATTTCATTCGTTATCTCTTAACTGAATCTCGGGTCTATGGGATTTCAGTTGGGAATAATTATGTTTAAAATATCAGCCATGAGCTGAACTATCTGTGGAACGGGTAAACTGTGAAACTCTTAAAGAACTGTTTTTAAAACTCTTGACTGAAGCTTTTTGTATTTCTTTGGCTAAGTGAGCTATATTCTTTGTGTACCAATGGGAATTGGACACATACTGAGAAAGGAACTTTCATAAGGAAGGGGTTTCAGACAGCTTAGCCATTAGGAGAAGGTAGTGTTATGGCAAAAACACTATTGGTCACCTTAGGAATAAGGGGCCACTTCGTCCATTTTAAGGTTTTGTACTAAGTACCTGTTGGAGTCAAGGGAACCATAGGAATATGGAAACTTGTGAGCCATCTAGTCCATGAGCTGAGGAATCAGAGTTGGCAGACAAGAAACTGGGACAAAGCCAAAAAGTGCTAGGTCTTGAGCAGAGAAAACCGCCATTTAAGAGTGAAGCAGTGAATCTGTTCCTTCTGTTAAACTGTTTTAAAACCACCTCCCTGTTGTCTCTTGATTATAGTTATTTCTGCTTTAGTAATTTTTACTTTATTTAATATTATATCTATTAAACTCCAATGATTATGATCTCACCTTCTTCTAAACAGGAAGGACCACATACATAACGCAGCGAGTAATTGTTTGCCATCAGATTGAACCTGCTGTTCTTCAGGAACGTTGACCAGACAGTTCATTTACTAACTTTTCTTCTCATTTTCATTCTTTATAAAATAGAGTAAGACAATAATTAGGATTCTATCCTCGTGAGAACGATAATCTGGGCCTTAATACACCATTTATTACTTGATGCGTGCACTTGCGCACTTGGGTTGGAACTAAGGGAACGAATATGTGTTCTTCAAGAACAGAGGAACGTCCTCTATTAGAACTTATATTTCTCCACCATCAGCAAACCACCCAACATCTCCCTCCATAGATATCCAATTTGGGCGTTCCATAACTCGTTCTAAAGCTTAGGATATCAGCTATAATATCCAAAAATTTGGTATCATTTCGAGTTATATAGCGCTCTTTGTGTCGAAATGAGTGAACACTGCCCAAAACTAGCATTTTGAACATTGCTCTCGGGTTACACCTTAGAAAAATTATATCTCCCTCATTTCGCGCTCAAAATAGGCTTATAATGTATTAAATTGAAGTTCCCAGAGTCTACTATGTTGTATAAAAATTTGAGAGTAATTGGACTTGTATATCATCTGGAATCATAGAAATCGTGAGGTATGTTAAGTGTCTTGTTAGAACTGTGTGGGCAGATTTAAAGGATTAACTTACAGCGAGCGTATCCGGAGTTATAGAACTTCGTTTGAGGCATGTGATACCTCATTAGAAAGCTTGTAGAGTCTGGTTTAACATACTAAATGATGAGAATTTATTGACGAGTAGATCATGCACATATTTGACAAAATTTAGACATATTCTATTTTGGCAAAGTATGAAATTGAGTACTTTACTTTATTAGTTTATGTGAACCACCTAGCAACCTTAGATAAGTGATGTATGATAGTTAAGTAGTAATGTTTATATTTCCGCATTAATTTGGGTTATGGTCACAGTTTGCAATTTGTGTAATACAGAGGTTTTTATAAATGCAAAATTTTGTAAATGGTAATAAAAGGAAAAAAGTTTTTTCGTATTTTAAAATGAACTACTGTGATTATAACTTTACTTAATATTATAATTAATAATAACATAACCAGATGCATACGGGATATTACACATGACATCTGTAGACCTGGTTCAAGGTTTTAAACAATTTTTTTTAGTAAGGTTTTAAACGATTTTACTACCAAATACTTGCACATTGTATGCTTGATACTGCTTTCCAATTTTTTCTTTCTTTCATTTTATTTTTAGAGATGTATGCAATTATAAATTTCATCTCAACCCAATTTCATATATGTTGGTATATCACTTTATCTACGCCTTTTAAAATTATTTTACATGGACAAGCCAAATTAATTGTCGGTGCATCCTAACCATTCTCTCAAACTTGTGGAATATTATTTTTTTATTTTGCCAATGACAATGTCAGAATAATTATTTTTTCAATATATTTAACGAGTTCGATGATATTTACCACCAAATAAAATTACCATTTCTTATTATTTTTATCATTGTTATAACAAACTAGGTATACATGTAAGGTGTTCATTATAAAGTAATGAGAATTTTATGTGTAAATTAAAAAGTTGATTAAAGATGAAAGAATATTCCTTCAAAAATACTTTTCATTTCAAAGAATACTAAGGGGGTGTATTGGATTGAGATTTCAAAGGATTTTAATGGATTGTTTTTGGACAAAAAAATCCGTTGGTATTCAATTAGGATTTTAATGGATTGAAAAAAAGTCACGTGGTATTCGATTAGGATTTTAAAGGATTATTTAAAAATCCGTCCAAATCCGTTGGTATTCAATCAGGATTTTAAACAATGGAATCACAATCTCGTGGTATTCAAAAATCCGACGATTTTAATGGATTTTCTATTGGTGTGGATTTCGTGAGACTTTATAGTGAAAAATATAATTAAGATACCTCTCTCACAATATCACCCTAACCCCTAGGATTTCTTGAAATTCTTCTATTGCAGTGTTTTCTTCTTCTTTTGGCAGGTTGATTGCTCGAATTGGGCTCTACCATGGGAGCTTCATCAAAACTAAAAAAAACATATTTTTGAGCGATTTTCATCACAAAACAACTCAGTCTAAAAAAAAAACATATTTTTGAGCCATTTTTTGAGAAATTTTGGAATTTTAAAAATCGATTTTTCAAGCTATGGGTCGCGATTTTTCTTGGCACAAAAATGTGTGATCTTTGTACTAAAAACAACATAAAATAGTGAAAAAATAACAGGGGAACTAAAATCCTCAAACCAATTTTCGTTTTACATCAATGAAACAATATCAATTTAAAGAAAAATTGAAACTTTCATAATATGAACCCTACATTTCGTAACAATACATTCGTGAACAAAATTCCTTCGCTATAGAAAACAATTTCAAACAATTTTTGTGTCAATAGATAACTAAAAACTTTTTTCTCAAAATCCTCAAAGCAATTTAAGGTTACAATGTATCGACTGAAAAAAATTTGAGAACTTTTCTAAACTTTCATGTAATTAAATCCAAAATTTCAGATTCAAATTTTTTTTAGAATATTCAATGAAAATATGCATATGATATATGTTCAAAAAACTCTCATCACGTAAAACAAAAATCCCAAGGTTTTCAAGATCAATTGCAAAAAATTCCAAACGAAATTTTATCGTGAACTTTAGGTACTATATGCAAATTTAGAATTATTTTTATATTAGTACCTAAATTTATATGGATTAATTATTAATTTGGATTTTAAAACATCTTATGGTTGTACCTATAAATTTGGGTCTTATAATTTTTTCTTATAAGCGGGATTAGTAGTGAAGAGACCCAAATTAATTTTAACTGAAGACTAAATTAGTAGTGAAGCACAGGGACCAATTAATCCATAATCCTCATGTATTAAACATTAGATATGCCACATTCGATCAGCTTCAGCAATTTAATGCAAAGCACTTGAGTTAATCAGCGTAAGCTCAACATTTTAGTATTGTTCAATTGTCTCAAGACTCTCAACTCAACTGTAACAAAGGCATCGCTATCGTTAGTTTGGTGAATTCTCCTCTTTGATGGGTTTAAGGAATTGGCGGAGACCATTTGTCAGAGCAGATGATGAGAACAAAGACGCTTTCAGAAGGCTGAGACCCTGCAGTATCACCAAATAATAAATTAAAAATTATCTGCAACATACCTAAAACAAGAAAATGTTAATTTTAAGCTATTAGGATTAGTCTAATGGTGAAGGGTTTAAGTGGATTATATTAGGTCATGTATTCAATTATCTCACTTGTATATAAAAAAAAAAAAAAAGGTTAATTTATTAGTTAGCAAATAATTTGGTCTAAGAAAATTGGTTAAAATATTAGAAATTCATGTCTCTATATATATCAAGCTTTACCTCTTTTTTGCCAATGTTGATAACTCTTTCCTCCAAATCAGAAGGAGGAATTCTCAATTGGGTAAGAAAGGAAATGGCAGAGATAGATGAACTTGGAGTGATGACCAAGTCATCTGTCACCATGTATAGAGACATCTTCTTGGCGAATCCTTTTCCGCCACATGTGCTATATTTTTGGCCAGTTGATGACTGCGGCTCTAAATAGCTCAATGGAGCACATACCTCTGAAGTAAATCTTTCATAACCTTGTAAAGAAGTTAAATAGCAGCTTATCTTTCCATTATTATTATTAATATTAGTATCACTGTAACAAGTGTAATCAGGAATAGGCACTTCCTCAAACGGTAACATCTGGTTGTTGAGCTTAAATTGGTGTGCAAGTTGAGATTTAACGAGCTTATCCTGTAAATCGAAGGACCTGAAATATCTATTAGGATCCAAATGAATTATGCTATTGTATAAATTATCAATGCTGCCCAAGCAAGAGTTCCCGTTCAACATGTGCTCCACCCCTCCCAAGGGGAAAGTCAAAAAACTAAGAATGAAGTCCACAAAATCCTCTTCAGCTAAAGCAAACAATATCGTGTTGTTGGATTTTCTTATCAGTGCCTTTATTTTCATTCTCTGCCCTCCATCATTACCTTCAACCTCACCAATATCAAAATCCGATACACTCCTTGTTTGTGCATTCTCAATGAGTTGTTTCTTCCGCAAGAACAAGTCCGTTAAAGGTGTGGTGGAAAATAAGGAGCCCGTCAGTAGGTCCAGTGTCTAAAACAAAAAAAAATAAAAGAAAGAAAAGAAATACATTACACTTTATGAAAAAATCAAATATATTTTATGTTTATTACAAGGGAAAAATGTTTCTGCAGTTATGCAGATAAGTTATCTGTAATTATTCCCAAAACGACGTTGTTTTGATATTGAAATTTTAAAAAATTATAAATATAAAGACTCTTATAACCCTGAAATAAATTAAAATTACAAATACACCATGATTTCCGCCCCAAAACGACGTCGTATTGGGCTTACTGCATATAACTTGTCTGCAGAAAAAGCGAACCCTTGTTACAATATCAAGTTTGATTGCGCATCAACGTTAAGTGCAGTTACAATTTAAAAATAACACACAAAAAATATAAATAGAACATGGAAACATACATCATTCTGGGTGACATTCACAATTACTAGTTTGATTGCGTCGAAGTCTTCGGATCCAAGATTTATAGGTAGACAAACAGAATTTTGAAAATCATCAGGTTTCACCTTAAGGTCATCTGAAATAATAAAAGTTGCAGTTTCTGGAACGAACCCTTTATTTGCGGGTGATATACGATTAAATATCTCTCGATTCATTGGTTTCCCGCATTTGCATCTTTGGTTTGTGAAAGTACTCAACAAGCCACCACTACGCTTACGACTGCAATCCAAGTCCTCACATATAAAGTACTTTGTTTTCTCAGTGTCATCAATATTAAGCTTTATATTTTGGCAGTAGCTTTCCATTGCGTTCCTTGGCTGAAGCAGCATTTCTTTACACGTGTCTGTCCAGAAATGACTTTCATCAAGATTGGCCACGCTTTCGTACAAGGAGCTTAGGCTTCCAATGCTAACCTTCTTCATGTTTGATTCCTTACTCACAAGCCTCACAATAGTGCCCAGTGGCAAGGTTAAGAAGCTTAAAAGGAAATCCACAAAGTCCTTCCCTGCTTGGACAAACACTACTTTATTTTTCTTTTCATCTATCAAAACTCTCAGAGCAACTTGATTCTCGGTTGCAGATTCAGCCATGGTAAAGCAATTATTAATTCCACATTGTAATTGTTTCTTTCCACAAATATATAGAAATTTCAGCTTACAAAAACATTAAAAGGGGATTCTTGAAAAAAGAAATGTGGTTTAATAGTAATTAATAGCAATACTCTTGGAATGTTTGAATACGAGAATCAAAGCCTGAAAATAATAATCACGCAAAAATATGTGAATTGAAAGTGAAACGTTGCTATCACTTTAACCGATGAGTGGGATCTCTATCCTCCCGAATAATGAAAAATCTATTCAATAATAGAGCCGCATCGAGGGTGGATTTCTTTTTAACTTTCAATAACTTTCCACTGTCTTTGATTTCTAACTCTTACAATTCTCAATGTTTTGAATGATTATTAATTTTGTAATTATATTTTTGTTAATCCAACAGAGAATTTTATGATTGAGTTGAGATGGTTTAAAAATAGAATTGTGTACTTTTTTTTGGTTTTAAAAAAACAAAAAAAATATGTTTATAACGTGTTTGGTGATTTGTTTCCTTCAAAGTAAATTTATATTTAAATTGATAAAGTAAGAATGTGCTAATCTTGAGAGGATGAATGGTAATAAGTACGGGTGTTAACGAGCCGAGCCGAGCTTTGGTCTTAACGGGCCGAGCCTGTGTTCAAATGTGTCAGACTGACCTTAGCCTGTTACTTATTACCTGTTACGAATATAATATCAGCCTGTGGCCTGGTTCATTTACAAAAAATAATAGCCTGATTTAGCCTGTTAGCATGTTTTAAAAAAGTAAGACAACAAAAATTTACCCAAACAAAATCTACAATCAACAGCACTAGTAATTCTATAAATATTCATAAATTTAATGTATATCCAAATAGCATAATATAAAATAAAATAATTCAAAAAGTCTGTTTAATTAATTAAATGGGATGAAATGAATTGAGAAGGGAGAGAGTGCTATCACAAGTAGTATAAAAAATATATATTAGGCAAGCCTGAGAGGCTCTAAGAGCCTGTTTGGATCCTCTTATTTTTAAGCTATAAGCTACTTATAAGCTAAAGCTAAAAAAAAGAGCTTAAAAAAATAAGCTAAAAGCTGTTTGGAAATTACATAAAAGTTTTAGCTTAAAAATTACTTAAAAGCACATATTTCAAGAAAATTATCTCTTTCTATCTTTATCACTCTTCATTTAAAAAAAAAGCACACAATTCAAGAAAAACAGATAAGAGCTTAAAAAAAAGCTCATCCTAGGAGCTTTTAGTTTTCAGCTTTTTTCTTCATTATAAAAAAAAGAGTTTTTCGTTATAAGAGCTTTTCCCAAAACCTGTTTGGCCTAGCTTATGCTTATAAGTAGCTTGTAGCTTAAAAAAGAGAGGATCCAAACAGGCACTAAGGCCGAGCTTTTGAATTGGAGCCTGAAGTCTTTTTATTAAACGAGCTTTTATACAAGTCCAAGCCTGGGTCCAACAATCAATTTTATACATGTAAACTCAGGCCTTCACGAGCCGAGCCGAAGGCCCCTGGCTCGTTTAGCACCCCTTAGTGATAAGAGAAGAGAGAAAAAAATATTGAAATAAGGAGTTGCAAAACTATTACTATTATTATTTTATTTTATTTTTGATAACAAACTATTACTGTTATTTACCTTTGTATGGTTGTGATCAATGTTATTAAAATCGAGATCTTAAGTAAAATCGAAAGGGGATTAAATAATCGTAAAACGTAAAATCGTAATGTAAAAAAATCGTAAAAACATAAAAGCGTTTGGAATATTAGTAAAATTGTTTTGATGAAAAAAATCGTAAAAATGTAAAATCATAGTGATAAATCGAGATTTTAACAACAATGGTTGTGATTTCTTCATATGATCATATCATGTTTTATTTAACATGAGAAGATTCATTTCCACTAATCTTAGATTTTTTTGGTTAAAATCATTATTTTAATAATCGAATAAAAAATTAAATAAAAAATAATAATAATAATCAAAATAATAATAATAATCAAAATAATAATATATAAAATAATAATAATAATAAATAAACTATTGTTATTATTATTAATATATTTGCTATAAATAAATAAATTACTATTATTATTATTATTAAATAAATAAATAAATCTTTACATATGTTACATGTGTAACTACATAAAATGATAAGTGCGGCATTAAATGTAGTATATGATAAGTCTTATGAGGAATACTATTACTTATTACTTATAAATATTAAAACGCATATGATAAATGTTAATATTTAAATTATAACATGTAAATATAAGAATACATTATAAATACATATTATACCACTAACTATAAATAGTAACAAATACTACTATTAATATGAGACATTGGTTAGTTGATAAATATATATGTTTTTTTTAAATAAACACACACTTTAACAACACTACTAGAGCACAATTATATATAAATATAGATATACAACATTACAATACCAGTCTATATCATCATAATTACAAATTATACAAGGCAACACATTACCTAAGTTATTGACGTAATATAAATGAGATAAATATATATAAAGAAATATATATATATATATATATATATATATATATATATATATATATATATAGAGAGAGAGAGAGAGAGAGAGAGACACTACCTCATTTTTGTTAGAAAAGTAAGGAAAAGTTGAGAAGAAAAATTTACAGAGAGGAAGAGAGAATATGAAAGAGAAAGAAGACGAAGATATAATAGAGGAAAGGTAATATTGAGAGAGTAAAACCTTACCTCTATTTTCTTCTTTTCAGTTATTTTCTTTAAAATTGATATTGAGAAAGTTGTAATGTTGTTATTCTGCCAAAATATTTTCTTAATTTCTTCTCTTATGTAATATTATTCTCATCTATAGTTTTACCTTAATCTTTTATTTAAATTGGTTCTACCTGTCCCTCTATTGTGATTTTTATCCAATTTTAAATTTTCTCTAGTAGTAAGATATAATAAGAATGAAATATTTGGTACCAAATGAAAATTAAGAGAACATGTAAATTTTAACTGAATGATGTTGCTGTGAAGTGAGCCACAAAAGTTTGGGTTCAGAAAGTTTTAGGGTAAGGGACGCCTTATCATGGCTTGAGCTCTGCCATAACATAACTTTCCACATGTAGGAGACCCACAAAATTGGATATTAAATTAGCTTCAGTCAAATATTACACAATTAATGAATATTTTTATTTATGATATTATTTCAGTTTACGAAATATATTTGAGAGATTGATATTTTTCGTTATTATGGCTAGAAATGGTTATAGTTTAAAAATCTCAATATTACTGAGAATTATCTCACATTTGTTTATTTTGTGCTAACCTTTTCAGAAAATCATCATGCCGAACTTATCTTTTTCTGGAGAATGATGGACTGTGAATATTTATTTTTATGATGACCGTTAGAAATTCTACATAATAGTTGGGAACAAAGGAGTTGTATCCATATTCCATGCAGGCAGTGTGAAAACCTACACCTATAGGCTAAACTAGAATGAGAAGTATATGTTGAATAAATGTTGTAACCTTATGTAGATAGGAATGTAATATGTGTGTGGAACTGATGTAAAATATTTGTACTAACTTACATCCATGTATAAATAATGAAGGATGTTAGTATTTCCAGTTAATCTTCCTAAATTTATTTTCTTAGATATTTTTATTTATTTATTTATTATTATTAAAAATATTTGGTAGAAAACAATGTGATATTCTCTATATTGGAATCTTTAGAGGATGTTACATTTTATGGTATCAGAACGCAGTTCGGGTAAATAAAAGACCCAAACTATTATAGTTGCTTGGTATTTTGTCATAGATCATGCATATTTTGAGTTTATTTTAATGAGCCTGATCAACTCACTATCATAAAACAATATATGTAGATCTATGGCAGATATAAAACAGATATCTTCAACTTCTGAACCAGAAGTTAACCCAGTAACAAATGCGTTTATCTGAGTGGTAGAGGCTTTTAGAAAATAGACTGTAACTAATCAGGAAATTATTCAGGAGCTGCGAGAGGATCGTGCAACTAGAAATCACTCCAATAATTCCGAAAGTGAAAGTGGACCTAGAACTGCAAATACTCAGGGAGGACTTAATTCTGATTATAAAAGACTCACTGAATTCCGTAAGCATAAACCTTCCACTTTTCGTGGAGATTATAACCCTGAGGTAGCCATGGAATGGGTGAAAGAACTTGAGAAAATATTCCTAGTAATGGACTGTCCTAATACTCATCGTGTAAACTTTGGCCACAAACTTGTTGATTAGAGAAGCAGAGCATTGGTGGACAAATACCAAAAGATATTTTCAAAGCCAATGAACAAAGATTACTTGGACAATCTTTAAAGATGCCTTTTTGGAAAATAATTTTCACAAAGTGAAAAAAATAGGAAAGAAAATAAAGTTATATTTTATTTTGTAACGATCAAACAAAACAATAGACATTATAGTAAATCCTTCTTTTGCAGAGATTAAAAGTGCCAGACATTTTGTTATATTATTTGTTTGCAGTATTATACTTCTATATTATACAATGGATATTATTTATTTGTTTGTAATCTTATTATTCATTTGTTTGAGGATTATACTTCTTATTATTCATCCATTGTTTTGTCCACAAGTGCCAGATATTTGTTTTATAATACTCATACTATAGAAGTGTTATTCTATAATATTATTTAGGATTATACTTCTTATTATTCATCCATCGTTTTGTTTGCTTAAAAACATATAATCCTTCTCTTTTTATAATAAAAGTGTTTATCAAATAATATTGCACTTCCAAACAAGTAATCTTTGTGTTATTCATATTATACTTCCAAACAATTCAACTATAATAAGAGCAAAATTAACGCGTTTTAAATATACTTCCACAATTAAATTTATTTTGTAACGATCACAAACATAAATGATAGATGATGATTAAAATCCTTTAACATGATATCGTAATGTTAAATAATATATGATTTGGAAAATGGATCCTCTTAAGATCCTTTAACATAA